TTCCACTTGTTATTATCTTCTGTCTCTTTCCTCAAGGTTCTATAGTTTTCTGAGTACAGGTCTTTTACTTCCTTGGTTAAATTTATTCCTAAGTATTTTAATTTTTATTGCAGTGGTAAATGGGATTGTTTTTTGAGTTTTCCTTTCTGAGAGTTCATTATTGATGTATAAAAATGCCATTAATTTTTGGTGTTAATTTTGTATCCTGCTACACTGTGAAACTTATTAAACCCAGTAGTTTTTTGGTGGAGCCTTTAGGGTTTTCTGTGTACAATATCATGCCATCTGTGAATAGTGACAGTTTTACTTCCTCCTTTCCAATTTGGATGCCTTTTATGTTTTCTTCTTGTCTGACCGCTATGGCTCAGATTTCCAGTACTATGTTGAATAAAAGTGGTTAAAGTGGACATCACTATCTTGTTCCTGTTCTTAGGGGAAATGTTTTTAGTTTTTGCCCATTGAGAATAATGTTGCATGTAGGTTTGTCATATATGGCCTTTATCATGTTGAGGTATGATCCCTGTATTTTCACTTTGCTGAGAGTTTTTATTTTGAATTTTGAATTTTGTTGAATGCTTTTCCTGCATCTATTGATATAATCATGTGAGTTTTGTCTTTCAATTTGTTTATGTGATGTGTCACTTTATTGATGTGCGAATATTGTACCAGTCTGGATGAAATAGACACATTGCTAGAAAAATACAATCATCCAAAACTGAGCCAGGAAGAATCAGAAAACCTGAATAGGCCAATAACAATTAATGAAATTGAAACAGTAATCAAAAACTGCCAGCAAACAGAAGCCCTGGCCTGGTTGGCTTGATGTAGTTTTACCAAATATTCAAAGAAGAACCAACATCTATCTCCCTCAAACTATTCTAAATTATGCATTTTTAGAATCCATTTTACTATTCCCTTCCTGATATTAAAAATTTTCCATTTCTCCCGGGTTGTATGACGTGGTGGTTGAGGGTCGACCCATGAACCAGGAGTTCATGGATAGATACCCTGTCAGGACATATGTCCACGTTGTGGGCTCAATCCCCAGGGGGTGGCGTGAATAAGGCGCCCAGTCAATGATACTCTCTCATCATTGATCTCTCTCTCTCTCTCTCTCTCTCTCTCCCTCTCTCTCCCTCTCCCTCCCTCCCTCCCTCCCTCCCTCTCTCTTACTCTTTGAAGTCAATTTAAAAAAACAATTTTTTCCAATTTCTGTGTTTGTGCGCATTTTTTCTTCCTTATATATTAACATAATATGCAAGTAAACCTATTCTCAGCTGCTTTCTGTCAAATAGAAATTCAGTGCATACTTATTGAGTGCCTACTATATGGTAAAGTACCATGTGTATCCTTTCTAGTAGCTAATAGTTTAGGGAAGGAAACAGATGTCAAATATGTCTTAGAATGGTAAGTACTAGAATACAGTTAAAAAGTGTGAAATGTCTAGCAGGTTTGGAGGGGTGGTGTGAATATGCTTGTGACCGTAGTCCTTGGCCACTTAGGAAAACCATTTAGGGGCACTCATGATCCACTAGACATGCATTCTTTGAAAATTTTGAGGTGGCTAAAACCACAGAAGATATTCTTTTTTAAAAATATATCTTTATTGATTTCAGAGAGGAAAGGGGAGGGAGAGAGAGAAACATCAATGATGAGAGAGAATCATTGATTGGTTGCCTCCTGCACACCCCCTACTGGGGATCGAGCCCACAACCTGGGCATATGCCCTTGACCGAAATCGAACCTGGGACCCTTCAGTCCACAGGACAACACTCTATCCACTGAGCCAAACTGGCTAGGGCCACAGAAGCTATTCTTATTGGTTCTAGGGATTATTTTTCTTGGCCCAAGTCTGAGGCAACTCATTTGCATTATTGACAACTATCTTCCAAACAGTGCTAGTTGGTTCATGATCCACTTCCAAAGTGAAAAGGCACATCCTAACAACTGCTCTCTGATGGCTGAGTTTCATGGGAGGGGTCTGTTTATAAAGTTTGACTACCAGTGCCCTGGCCAAATTTCAATGTAAGTAATGGGAAGTGTAACTGATCAAATGCTTCTGAATAATGAACCACTTCATGATGTACCAGCCCTTTATAAACATATTAGTGGCCCGGTGCACAAATTCGTGCATATTGAAAGGAAATTAATTAGAAATATTTTAATATCACTATTCGCCCTTTATAATAGAAGTGTCAACCAAATTCACGATCAACAATGACAGGTGGAAACACATGCGTGTGATTGGCGCCAATGAGAGCTTTATATGTATTGTGCATGCGTGAGTCAACTTAGCTTTTTATGGATATAGAACAAACTTTTTTCTGCGCGGTGAGAAAACCTGAAGTCATTTTCAAGTTCCACCATTTCTTACTTCTTTTCAGTCGGGTCAAGTTTCTAAGCTTTCTAAATTTCCATTTTCCGGCTAATGAAAAGAAACTAGGATTCCACTAGTTTCCTATCTACCTACCCCAGGACTTCTGTGAGGATCAAATGAGATGAAGCATGGGAAAACACTTCACAGACATTTGGTTACAGTGTAAAATGTTTCCACCTGGCTAGGAAGCAAGTCCTGTTCCTGGGCTGAAGAAATTGCAAGGAGACTAGTCTGTAGGGAGAGGAAGCCAGGCATTGCTATGTGATGCCATTACCCGGACGGACACTTAGTATATTAGCCTTTTATATATATATATATATATATATTCCTTTCAAGAAGAAGAAAACCATCAATTAGTGTTAAGTCTGCATTGAGATTCTTGTCATCTGTACTTTTTATTTTATCTTTTGCTGTCTTACTATTCTTTCAAAGTTTGCATATAAGGGTAGAGATGAGGGGAAGGATAAATATGATTGCATGAATTCAACTGAAATTCTTGTTGACTAATTGTACTTGTCTTTGCCTCATGATAACTGGTTATTAAAAAGAAACAAAAAGGCCTCCTGGTGCTTACCACAGGCTGTGTTCTTACACTAACTGTACAGAAATAGGAGGCAGAGTAAACTTACCCCATATACACCTCAGCTCAGGCTCTTTGCCTGGTCTGTATTGTGAATGGGGAGACATTGAGAGAAAGAAAAAAGAAAAAGAAAAAAAATGCAGCTCTTTTTGTGTGTGTAGATGTAAATTTTCATCTATCTGGGATAAATGTTCAGGAATGCTGGATTGTATAGTTAGTGCATGGTTAGTTGCTTAATTTTTAAAAAAAAAAATTTTTTATTGATTTCAAAGAGGAGGGGAGAGGAGGAGAGAGATAGAAACATCAGTGATGAGAGAGAACCATTGATCACCTTCCTCCTGTAAGCCCCACATTGGGGATTGAGCCTGCAACCCGGCATGGGCTGCAACCGGGAATTGAACCGTGACCTCCTGGTTCATAGGTCAAGGCTCGACCATTGAATCACGCTGGCTGGACAGTTGCTTAATTTCTTTAAAATATATTTTTATTGACTTCCGGGAGGAAGGGCAAGAGAGATAGAAACATTAATGATGAGAGAAAATCATTGATTGGTTGCCTCCTACAGGCCCCATACTGGGGATCAAGCCCATAACCCAGGCATGTGCCCTTGACCAGAATCGATCCTGGGACCCTTCAGTCTGCAAACCAATCCTCTACCCACTGAGCCAAACTGGCTAGGGCCAGTTGCTTAATTTTTTTAAAAAACTGCCAAACTGTTTTCCAGAGTGGCTGTGCCATAGTACATTCCCACCAACAATGTATGAGATCCAGGTTCTCTACACCCTCACCAGCCTTTAGTATTTATTGCCACTGTACTTTTAGTTACAGGTATGTAGTACTATTTCATTGTGCTCTTAATTTGTGTATCTGAAATGGTTAACAATGTTGGACATCTTGGCATGTGTTTATTTCCTGTCTGTAGATCACCTTCAAGGAAATGTCTTAGTTTTTTGCCCGTTTTCTAATTGAATTGTGTGTTTTTCACTTTTGAATTTTGATAGTTTTAAAAAATATATTCTAGCTACTGATCTTTTGTGACATATATAGTACGAAAATAATTTCTTTCACTCTGTAGCTTGTCTTTTCATCCTCTTCACAAGGTCTTTTACAGAGCAAAAGTTTTTCTTTTGATGGTATCCAGTTTATCAATGTTTTTTTCTTTTTATGAATTGTGTTTTGGTGTCAGCTCTAAGAATTTTGCTGAGCCCTTGATGCTGAGCATTTTCTCCTAAAATTTTTATAGTTTTAATTTTTACATTTAGGTATGTGATCCATTTTGAATTAATTTTTGTATAAGATATGAAGTTTATTTTGAGATTCATAATTTGGACTCTGGATGTCCAGTTGCTCCAGAACCATTTGTGAAAAGGCTCCTTCTTCTACTGCAGGGGTGGGGAACCTTTTTTCTGCCAAGGGCCATTTGGATACTTATAACATCAGTCACTTAATATGATTCACTTAATATAAATTTGTTACTATGAAGAAAGCTCCTAGATTTATTGAATTTCGAGACCCACCTGCAGTTTCCTTGGTAGGGCCAGATAAAATGATTTAGCGTGCTGGACATTCCCCACCCCTGCTCTACTGAGTTGCTTTTGCACTTTTTTGAAAACTTAGTTGGCTATACTTGTGTAAGTTTATTTTTGGGTTCTCGGTTCTGTTACATTGATCTATGTATCTATCCTTTCATCACTGCCACCTGGCCTTGCTTATTATAGCTATATAGTTGGTTTAACTCCATATTCTTTGGAATCTTTGGCAAATGAAAGGGTTTATGATTTTATGTCATCTTATTTATTAGTAAATAAAAAATAAGTCATATCAAAAGTATAGTATTTCATTAAATCTCATCATGAAATAATCTAATTTTAAGAATAATTATCATCGTTAGGCCCAACTCCTAAAGTTTATTTTTAGGTCTCTCAAATTTTCTATGTAACTCTACTTGTTAGTCTTGGTGTTAAGTTGCCTAGATAAAAGAAACTTTATATAATAAGTTTATTTAAAAAAATTTTTTTTACATGCTCCCTTTGTCTTTTTTAGATGGTGTTATCTGAAAAGGTTAGTCAACTGATGGAATGGACCAATAAAAGACCTGTAATAAGAATGAATGGAGACAAGTTCCGTCGCCTTGTTAAAGCCCCACCAAGAAACTACTCCGTTATTGTCATGTTCACTGCTCTCCAACTTCATAGACAATGTGTCGTGTGCAAGTATGAATCTTCAACTACACTTTAAAATTAACTTATAAGATTTTAACCATTTTTTCAATTCTAGAGAACTAAATTAGTTTAGTGGGTACATAATTAATGTGTATATCTTAAGATATTTATACTAACACACAACACTACTGCTCTTTTATAGTCACTTCTTGGTTGTCCATATTAGTAGGGGGAACAAAGAACAAAAATAAAGTATTGGAACCATCAGGAATAAATCTAACAATTATCTTCTAAATTGGTATCAACTTATATAAATGTATGCCAGTAGCATTGATGGTAGTGTTTTATTATTTGTGTTTTCAACTTCATACTCTTGTTTTATCACAACAGCCCCAGAAGGTAGTAAAGCAAATATTCTCTCAGTTTGGGAGAAACAGGTTCTAAAATTTTAACTGGTCTACCCAAAGCTAGAGATATTTATTAATACAATAATGGTGGCTGCATCCAAGTTTAGAATTTCAAGAGAACTTTTTTAGAAAATAAAGATGCATGATTTATGTTAGAGATGTTTCTTTTTTCTAGATTATTTTGTAGTGATTATACATCAATTTCACTTAAACTTTCATCAAATAATGGTTTATTGACTTATTTTACTGTTTCTGAATGATCTTAGGAATAAAGATTGATATTTTTTTAAACGAAAGTGCTATGAATAATTAAAAATAGTGGATTTTTAGCTCTTTGTGGTGTTGTTTTAACTTATATTTTAAAATCCGTATGTGTGATCTGGGAATTTACTTTAAATGAAATGACAGAGCAGCCCTGTGAAGAACTTAATTAAGTAAAAACCTTGGAGGCTTTCCAAATTCTGACAGCTTGGGCTCATGTAAAGGAATAGTCAGCCTCCTTTCACAATACTGTGTTATGCTACCCTAACCCTTGCTAACTCTTATTAAAGGATTTTTTCCCTTGGAGGTAGGAGATAGTCAAGGTATTTGGTTCCAGGGTGCTTGTTTTATGGGGTATATGGCGAATATAAATGATAAGTAAACAGAAGAAGGAAAAAGAGTAGTGGGTATTAACCATGAATAAATTTAAAACCTAGAGCCGTGGTCAGCAAACCGCGGCTCGCGAGCCACATGTGGCTCTTTGACCCCTTGAGTGTGGCTCTTCCACAAAATACCACATTCTGCACATGGGCCACGAAGTTTCAATCGCACTGTACATGTGTGCCCACATGTGGCATTTTGTGGAAGAGCCACACTGAAGGGGCCAAAGAGCCTCATGTGGCTTGCGCGCCGCGGTTTGCTGACCACGGCTTTAGAGTCTCTGTTTCCTTGTTAAGTTTTTGTCTGGAAGATCTGTG